AGTCCGAGTACCATATAGAGGTATGTGTTAAAAGCTATAATATCAGTGCAATTGTGAAGTCTGAGAGAAATACCTTCAAAATAAATTGTGAAAATAGTTGTTACTAATTGCATGTTGTAGCATTTTGACAACATTAATTTATGTTGCGACATTTTAACAGCATTGGTTTACTGGAAGTTGTATTTACATCTCACCCTGAGTCTTACACCCTGGCTTTCTTTTATTTTCTATCATTTTCAGTAGTGTTAACTCAAATCCAAACAAAGTCTTTAAATTCGCCATCTGAAGTTAGTCTTTCAACTCGAGAGCTTGCAACTTAAGATACCTATCCCTGTGGAATACGATACTTGGTACTTACCATTTTATTACTTGAAAGACGATATTGGGACTAACTATATACTTGCTTTTGGTCCTAATTACTAAGTCTGTGGGTGCGTAATTTTGTCGCCATAGTAACCACATGAGTGAAAACAAGGGTTCGTTTGTGATCTTGATGAGAAGTTTAGGCACTTTGTGAAGCTCGGCAACAACCCAAGGATGAAAGTAATGAGAAAAAGGAACGTGAGGATGTAGATCAATGGTGTCACAGGTAATGACCAATGTGTATTATGTTTCTAAGTTAATTAGTAACCAACTTAGTGCAACACAATTGCAAAAAAAAAAAAATAGAGTAGCAATTCACATTCAAGGAGTGTGTAAAATAGTCTGGAGAGGGGTCTGATAATGGAGTCCAAGAACGGTCTGGCCGATGTGTTTCCCCGACAATTTCCAGCACAAGAATGGATATTTTTCGAGTTATTTCTGTTGCAAAATTTCACATTAACATTTCATATGGCCCATACAAAGTTTAGTGGCAATCAAACATGTTTATGCTTGCTGCCAATATTTTACCTGTTGAACCTACTTGCTTCAAGACTATTGTACACTGATGACGATCTCACGCACATGTCGCATTCTCAATATGCAGGGCCAGTCCTGAGATTTTTGGTGCCCACGGCAAAAAGTCCAAATGATGCCCAATTAAAAACATCCAAGTGTGGTAATTTACAATTGTCTAGCTTTTTTTTCGTAGACGGAGAGAACCATTAGTGTTTTTGTTCATAAGTGTGATCTTATAGTTGAGTGTTTGCTTTAAAATAATATGTTAAGGTTTTATTAATCAAGTTGTTATAGCCCTTGTATTTAAACACCAACTCATCTACTTGTCCAAAACCAAAATAAGGATCATCATAACACCAACTTGTCTACTTGTCCCATTTACCACATCCCACGTCTTCTGTATAAACCAAAATCAACACACATACCTTCTTATTCCAACTCCAAACACTTAATTGGTTGGTTTTCCTTCAATTATTTACACTCTACAACATCAATAGCTCATTCCTATTCCACTAATTTTGTCCTCCTAGTTTTAGTCACTTAAGGTGTTTGCCTATAAAATTAGCTATTGCATGACTCCATTAGTCCATCATGCAGTGGCGGATCCAGAAACTATCATGGTTGGGGGCATACTTATGAGTGTCGAAAAATCTCGAAACCAAACAATTCGTCCAACCCAAAAAAGGTTTCGGGTTTTCATTTTCGGCTTAAACGGTTCTATTAACAGAATAAAGATAACTTATTCGGTTTGATTTTCAGTTAATTTTTTTATTAGTTAAACTGACACATTATACTATAGGGGCCTAATCAAATGAGAACTGATTAGTTTGTGGTAACTGTGAGGTCTAATCTCAACCACAAATCAACTGATAAATTAGGAAATTAATAATTATGATAGTTTGAGTTAAAATTATAATTAGAGGGCATATTAGGTATTTTTAAAAACTTCTCTCTCCTCTCTCCACTCTCCTCTCTCATCTCTCATCTTTCCGACCTCCAATCTCCGGCCTCTGGTGAAATCGGTATTACAGTATATCACAATGGGTATCACATTGTGTATTACAATAGGTATCACACTGTGTATCTTTGTTTTTAAGGTTTGAGTTGGTATCACAATGGTATCACAGTATATCACAATATGTATCACATTGTGTATCTTTGTGATTACTTGGTACCTGTCGGATTAATGTTCACCGGAGGCCGGAGATTGGAGGTCGGAGAGATGAGAGAGGAGAGAGGAGTTTTTTAAAAATATCTAAAAAGCCCTCTAATTATAATTTTAACTCAAACTACCATAATTATTAATTTCTTAATTTATCCGTTGATTTGTGGTTGAGATTGGATCTCACAGTTACCACAAACTAATCAATTCTCACTTGAATGAGTTTATACATACATACATACATACATATACATATATATATATATATATACACATATTCTCTACAGTTTACACAAAAAACAAGTAAAGACATTGCTCGTTAAATAGTAAGACATTAGGTTTGAGTTGAGTTCTAAGGAGAAGTATGTATGTATGTTAAGTGGGGTTGTTGTTTTTTGACTATCAAAGAATATAATATTGAACCAATTAAAAGTATGATGTTAATCATTGTTGGGGGCCTTTTATTTTGGTGATGGGTTCCCAATAACAAACACTAAATAAAAAATATATTTTTATTCAATTGTGAAGCATTTTGTTGGGGGCCTTTGCCCCCTATGAGACTCATGTGTATCCGTCACTGCCATCATGTGTTTCATATAATCATATTTAGGGTCTTGACCAATGACAATCATGAGTTTCATATGTAAAATTGCAAAGTTAAGGGAGAACAATCAAGTGAATTAGCTACTACACATTTAAGTGAGGGCAAATCATCATTTAACTACTGCACATTTATAGGTTTGTTCAACTATATTATAGTTGCTAAAATTGTGTTAATATACATCAAAATCTAATGGGATTAGAACAAAAAATCGGTGGATGATAACTTGAATATTAATCACATAACAAAGAACTAAAACTCTAGAGATAGGCTTCATTGATTCAATGAACAACTAGATCAATTAATAACAATAATATTCATTTAACTTTAAACAAACATAAAAAATATAGAAGTTATGCCATGAACAGAAAAACTTCAGTTTAAACCCATGAACATAAAAACTTACTTGTGCAGTTGAAGAGTTAATCTAAGAGAAATCAACAATGCAAGCTTCTGATAATTTATGTAGCAAATTACTTTCCTCTACCTCTTTTCCTGTACCTAGGCTGGGACTAAAGAAATAAGGAATATTAATCTTACTACCAGAGTACAGATAAGTTTGATGACATACACAACAACCTACCATGAAATGCATAATGAACCTACTATTGACAAGAAACAAGTTTTTATTATTTTATTTTATGGTTTTGGCTCTTGCTATGTAATGATTAAAGTTTTAACATTTATAGTTGTGAAATTGTTAAACAAATAATACGATATAAAGAATAAAAAGATAACTGGTTTTGGTCGTTCGTGGTTGGTGTCGTGAAATTGCCAAACAGGTTGAAACTTCAGATTTTCAAAGTTGAAATAACCCCTAACCTAAACTAAACAATTAAACAAACTAACCCTAAATCCTAATATAAACAAAAGATCAAATCTTCAAATAACAATCTAATCCTAATCTAAGCTAAACTAAAGTCTAAAAAGGAAACATGCAAACATAAAGTGATCAAATCAAACAAGAATTAGAAATCATAAAATAACCCTAATCTAAACAGACTAAACTAAACCATAAACATTAAAAATAGAACATTAGAAATCAAAATTTAGAAGAATAGAAGTTTACCAAATAAAATAGAGATGAGCAAGAGCGACAGAGGCATAGAGCGTTCCAGATTCCAGAAACAAAGTCGAGCTCTAGTAGTCACAAGACCCAGGCACGAGATAATCAAATAACCTCAGTACCTCACAACCAGTTCCAGAAAACGAGGTCGAGAGTGAGAGGCTGAGAGCTAGAGGTCTCAGAACTCATAAACAGAGAGCGAGAGGCCGAGAGCGAGGTCGGGAAATGGAAATCAATAGTTCGTTCGTACTTCGTTCTTGAAGTGAGGCCGAGAGAGATGAGCCTGAGCGGTCGACGCCTTTGGCCCTTGGTCTATGTAGTAACAACGGTAAAAAAAATTAGGCCCAACCAAAATGAACCTACCTATGTATAAATGGGCTTCATAATGTGATGCCCTTGGGCTGTTTGCTGCCCTAGATCGTCACTCCTTGGGCCTACAGCCAGGGTTGGCCCTGTCAATATGGGCATCTAAGTTACAAAATAGAAAAACACACACAAAAAAAGTAGAAAGTTAAAATAACGAGTCTATGTTAACTAGGTATGTCAGAGTGTGAAGAAAGTCATACAATTCAATTTGAACCAACCAACCATAATTAGATAAGACAAGATACACAATTTCCACCTCCAAATTAGATCAGTTGCTTCTTAGATTGTATTCTAGAATTCAATAAAAACCGAACAGATTAAATCCAATTAACACTCAATTACCATCTAATTACTAAATAAATATAATTAATTATATTTTACAATATTCTTTATAGTTGATATTTATATGTATCACATCACTCTTAAAGAAATTCAGAAAATATATGAATAACTGATTGAAATGGTGAATTAATTGACTGAAAGTTCAATCAAACTATCGGACAGATCCAACCTGATTCAATCAATAGTAATATCCAGTATATGGACGTTCTAATCCTGTCGTCTATTAAATTAGATTAGATTAACTGTACAATTTTAACTAGATTGAATCTAATAACAAAATTCAACACCCGATAAATAACTGAATTAGATCAGATCAATCAATAAACATATGATAGTCACTGGGATGAGGAAACAAACTCGTAAATATTCATAAACTAGGGGAAAAATTATCCGTAATTTCCAACAAACCACAAAATTAAAAGTAAAATAAAAAGTAATCCAACTTTTTTAGTAAAGTCCACGTGTTGTCCACCTCACAAAAAACAGGTTAGGAAATCTTCCACGTCGTATCCTACGATTCTCAGCCGCTTTTTCTCTCTCCTTCTCATCTCATGATCTCGACACCTTTCTTTTACCGATCCAAAGGCCCCCTTTGCGTTCTCTTTTAAACGCAACCCCTTTTTAGTAGAGCAACAAAAATTCTTCACCGCTAAGCTACCTCACAATGTTGCTATCGTTCTATATATACACATAATTTTACTCGATTTAGACCAAACCCAGTTAAGATTTCGATTTAGGAGCGAAAAATGGGAGGTGGGTTGTTGAAAATGGGAACAGATGGTGGTGATGAGGGTGAAATTGATGGGGGTGTTCAGGGGAATTTCTTCGGATCGTTGCCGGAAGGGTTCGTAGCAAACGCGTTGTCACTGACGAGTCCTAGGGATGTGTGTAGGTTATCGTTGGTGTGTTCTGTTTTCCGGTCAGCGGCTGAATGGGATGCCGTGTGGGAGAAATTCCTGCCGCCGAATTACCAGAATATTTTGGCGGAGGCCGGTGAGGGTGGTGATGGTGGTTTAGTAAGGTCTGGTTCGAAGAAAGCGTTATATCTGCGACTCTGCGATCATCCCGTCATCATCGATGGTGGCAATAAGGTCTAATTCTTCTCTTTATCGCTAATCTTTGTCTAATTTACATGGGGATCCTCGAATTTCGATTGAATTTGTTTATTTTATACTGTTTGATGCTATTATCTGTTTTGTGCTCCATGATAACATATCATCTTCACCAATTGGGTAATTTTGGTCAACTCAATTGGGTATGTTTTACTTGGTAGGGTATGCATATGGATAGGTATTTGATATATACTTTAGATTGTCATGAAACATGTATAAAGTTCTACAGTTTTAGAGGCATGTAAAAGGGTCTTTGATGGATTAGGAACATAGTTTGAGTCTATATATGTTGGATTCTTTACAGGGATCTTGATGCCAAATGGGTTCGAGTCCCGAGACTGCTTTAGAACTCATTGGTCTCCAACCGTAAACGATAACCCTAAACCCTAAAGTAATATTTCACATGGTGATTGAATCAGATTCTGTGTTGAGGTTGGGTAATTAGCAGCTTCATGAGTGTTCCAAGTATAATCAACATGGTTACCTATTATGAATCTTGAACGATCAACGAGATGATATTGGGCTAGCTTCGATCTACATTTTGTGTTAGAAATTTGGAGGAAATGTTTCTATCTTGCATGATATGGAGGCGAGATTTCGTGCCTAACTTGGAAGCAAGATCGACTAATTTAGGTTAATTATACAAGTTTCCCTTGATGATGCCTTTCTAACATTCGTTTAGAGTTCCCACAAAGCTTTACATGAATAGTTTGTTAATTGGTTATTATTGTCGAAGTTTCTAGAGTCTATTTGTTTGTCAATTCTACCGTCAGCGTGTTTTTTTGACAAAAGCTAATCATTTCTAGATTTATTATGTGTATCACGTGCGCCGTTACTACGTCATCGTGCATTAGAGGCTATGTCGTCATTTGCCCTAGACTTCCATCCTTTCTATTTCTAGAATGGAAATCGAAAATTACACTCATATTTCTTATTCTTGTAACTAAATTTGAAGTTCTTTCCTAAGAGATCGAGAAATCTACCTTGGTTATGTTTCTTAGGGGATGTTTGGTTCAAGTTGGGGAATGAAAATTCGAATGACTTTTCATTTCCCCTGGTTTAACCTGGAATGAAAATTTGGGCTTCTGGGGTGAACGCATTGTATTATATAAAACCAAACAGTTTCTTTTATTATTATTACCTATGATTACTGCTTAATACCTCTAATCAAACACCCCCTTATTCTTTTTCGGAAGCCTGTGGTCTTCTTGGAAAAAGCCTCTTATCTATTGGGGCAGAGATCCGATCTGACCTCTGGTGGGATATACCGAGTCTGTTTGGTTTGGTTAGATATTATGCATTACAGGGTAAGCAAGTCATTATTTGTACGATGTCTTTTCATAATCATTAACGCATATTGTTGGTATTTTTACATAGTATGCAAACTAAATTACAGATGGAAACCGAGATTTAATGCAATGTTAGTATCATCTTTCCTCAAAAGTAGTATCGAACTTTAGCAGGAGATTCTTGTCATATATTGTGATACCGTTTATGTGATCCAAAAGGAATTAAATTTCTGAAAAAAGGTATCGTATGCGTACTTTTAATGGCAAATGGTAATTCAAGCGTGACATCTTAAACATTTAGGTACCTTGTTTATACCTGAGAATGCATGAAAATGCAACGTACTTTGATCTGATCCCTAATCTTTTGTTACAAACTTTGGTCTAAATGTTTAGAAGTGTATGAATCTGATGATCTTTGGTGATCTTGGACAGAGCTTCTTTTTGGATAAATGGAGCGGGAAAAAATGTTACATGCTGGCTGCGCGAGACCTCTCGATCGTTTGGGGCGACACCCCTCGTTATTGGAGATGGATTTCCGTACCCAACTCAAGGTTATATCTTGCCTCTTTTTTTGCGTTAAAATTTTGTCGTCGGTCAACACACCATGATTAAGAATATAGTTTTGTCCCCGAACCTCAGGTTTCGCGAGGTGGCTGAACTCATCAGTGTGTGTTGGCTTGAAGTTCATGGCAGAATCAGCACTGCCATGCTGTCGGCCAACACTTGCTACGTGGCTTACCTTGTGTACAAATCTGCATTGGGCGCTTACGGTTTCGAATACCAACCAGCGGAAGTTTCTGTGGGGATCAGTGGGGCCGAGAATGAAACCAAGACCGTCTTTCTGGACCAGGAAGCCTGGCAGAGGCAATCATACGAGCGTGGGCTGCCAGGGAGACGAATGGGCATGTTTAACAGAGTAAGACGTCTGGGAAGTCTTCCGGCGGCAGCCACCATGGTGAATGGTCCGAAGAGGCGGCAAGATGGGTGGCTGGAGATTGAACTGGGAGAGTATTGGAACCAGAAAGGGGAGGAAGGAGAAGTGGAGATGAGCATGACTGAGGTGAAAGGAGGGAATTGGAAGGGTGGGCTCATCATTCAAGGAATTGAGATTAGGATACGTCATGATAGATAGATACAGGGTTTTACCATGACAATATGTGTGTTGTTTGTTCCGCTTACCTCTTACCTTCAGATCCTACCTGTCACACTCTGGTTTTGTATTTAAGAGTCGATTATCGTAAAACCAGTCGATAAAGTTTATAAAGGCTACAAAATTTGTGTTGGTTTTCATGATCTTTTTTCGTTTTAACCCTCCGTTGACCGATCGTAGGTGTTCAACATGTTTCTGCTTGTTACTTCAAGTAGGAGGGAATTTGGCTAGAGCAAAGATGAAAGAATTTAGGTCCATCAGTGGATCTGCAGAGGGAGTGATATGTAGTAGGTTTTGTTTGGTTTACGGTCGATATAGGTCCGTCAAATATACGGTTTACTTTGTTTTGCATCCGTTAAATACACTGGGTCGGGTTGGTTTACTATCTACGAGTCAAATATACGGTTTACTTTGTTT